CCTTAGCCAGTGAAGTCTATTCTAATTTCATATAATGCCATTTAACCAATTCAAGTAATTCAGCTCTACGATGGAGGGGAGTTGCTCTTTTATTGACCATATGAGGAGAAATATGTGGTTCAGCATCCTTCTGTTTGGACTGAACCTTTCAATTCCTGACATCCTGGTCCTGACAGGGGACAGGAGGCTTGTGGATGCTGCTGTCAGCTCCACTGTTATCATCTAATCTGTCTCGCGGTGTACAGTCCATAGTATTGTCTCTGCACGGTCATTACTGTGTGCTTTATGTATGCAGCTTTGACCTTGACTTTCACACACTGCAGATGCACTCGTTTACTTTGCATTTTCAGAGATTTTGTTACCAGGAAGAGGAAACTGTCTGCGACTGATTTTCATGGAATAAGATCTCAAACTCTGCACCCGAGTAAAATAGCAGTTTGGAATTTATTTGAAAACGAACAGTCAACTGATCAAAACTCAAAATCTAAGGGTCACAATATCTGGTCTCTAATAACTGAGTCTGTTACATTAAGTGTCTAGTTCCTGCATCTATTATTTGAGTTGCTGTATAGTCGCGCTTAGGAGAGATTCACTGTTTGCGACTGAAGGGCAATATTTTAACCTTGAGGTATTTTTATGGTCTCCTTTGTTTGTATTTAAGGTTACCTGTTCTGAATGGTTTTGTTTTTATGGTACATCAAGTTGCACTAACATAATATAATTACATTAAATCTAATACAAATTCTACAATTTATCAAATTGGGATGATGGGAGCAGCTTGATTGACTTGTTTGGTTCAAGAATTACTAAATAACAGAAGCAAAATAATTTCTCAGTTTGCAAAACAATAAGCAAAAAGGTTTTTAGACAGATTTTCATATTTCTCATGCAGACAAAATTACGTCGGCTGATACTGTGAACAAAGCACAACTATGAAAGATCACTGGAAAGGTGATATTACAGAGAAGAGAGTGTCCATGTACTCCAGGACTGATGGATGAAGAGTGACAGAGTTTAAAGCAGCTTCAAACAAATGGCAGGAAGCAACGATAAATAGGCAGGACAGGCTGTGATGACTACAATCGTCACGCTTAATTACACACACTGTCTTCTACATTGAACAATGCAGGAAAGAAGCCGACATCTGTCTGTGAGAGCATGTAGTCCAATTAACCATCACTGTCCTAAAACCATTGGCTTCAATTTATAGATGCATCCCTAAACACTTGAACATCCAAGACTCATTTCAATTATTCAAGAATCGTCTCATATAATTGGGTCCGTCATATGTCATCAGTAATGTTGAACTAAACGGTATCCTTCCAACTGGCAAGACATTCACAAATATTTTAACTTTTCAAAGCTTTATTTTCCAACATGTTTCTGAGAAAATATTGTTCTTTACCCATATCATTTATCTGACAGCTGAAGAGACAGCTTTGAATTTCTTTTACAAAACACAATTATCTTTTCAATTCAAACCCATTTTTCATTATTTATCAACCATGTTCATATACGGTACTGCTTTTTGCAATGCTAATGTACCAATAAAAAAAAAACCTTGAACAACTTCACATAACATCTCATCCTGGTACAACTGCCTCATAACCTCAATAACCACTTCATCTCAACCAACCCTCTCTGAACTGTATGACCACTCTGCGATCAGGAGAGCCATCCTGATCACAGAGGACACCTCGCAAAACATCTGCAAGAAAATCGTTCAATACCTCTGCAAAGGGTTGTACGGATTCTTTCTATTCCTGCCTGAACCATACTTATACTATTGCTTAAATTACAGTTTATAATACAATATTTGTTTGGGAGTAGAATTAAATACTCCCAAATCATTCCTGCACACAAATAACAGCTCTATATCATCCACTGCTGAAATAAACATAGATATGCTCATTAAACATCAACGGAAAAGTAAGAGATAGGAACAATATATCTTCCCCTTTCCTCCATATCAAATCCACCACCCAGCTTATTAACTATCCTCGAAATATCCTGGTACCAGATGCTATTATTCTTTCTGTGTTTATCTAAGTATAAAGTACTATTTAAGGTATCCCGTAATTTCCCCAGGGGCTTAATGTTTTTGAAGAATAAGAGCATTTTCTTTGGCACGTCAGCACTGCAAGCTGTGCACCTGGGTGTGTGCCGCGTGTGCTGTAATCAACCTGGACAGACTACGCCAGGATCAATTCCTTCAGGACAGCAGGAGGGTTTCTTTAGCAGAATGTGAATGTGCTGACGGAGCTGATGAGATCAGACCAATTCGAAACACCTCAGGAAGGAAAATCTACCATTTGAAACCATGGGTCATAGAAGTCACTAAATATATACACAGAGGGAAAACTCTGGGAATGCATGTGGTTCCGGTTGATCTTTGGCTTTGTCCATGTCCTCTTCTGTCCGTGTATATGATTGAGAAATGGGAGACAGCAGCATTCTGCCGGCATTACTTTTGATATGAGCTGCAGGCTTCTCCAATAAAATGGCCTCCCACTGAGCTGGAAAAACCTGCTGTCTTTTGTTCTTAGCCCTCTCCATCAGCTCACGGTCCCTTTTTAATATCTTAAAAATGTTCATCTATCTTCATAATAACCTAAGCTCACCTCTGGCTCCCTCTTTTTACTCCCCTTTGCTCTTTTCATTTCCTTTTTGTTTGCTTCGTCTTCATCTCACACAGCGAGTGTCTGCCTTCCCTCTTCCTATCCTCTTCACGCTCTGCTATCCATCATAGCGGGCATTTTGCCAATCAGTGATGCATATCAGCTAGCTCTTACCGTTAATGAAATACATCCGCTTTCTCTCTTTCTCCGAGCCACTGAATTTTGATCTCCTTTTTATCATTCACCGCAGTCCTCAGTTCTGCATCCTTGACTACCAACCGTCATCATTTACTCTTCCTCCCTTCTCTGTGTTGAGGGAATTTGTCTGCACATACTTGACCTATGACTAATGAGCAAACCACCATTCATATCAACGACACAATTGATCCGTGTCAACACAAGATTCAGTCAAAAGCATGTGAGATGAACAAAGAGGATTTTTCATCCATTAAAAGCAGAATTGTGACTATTTTGACAGTAGAAGTTAAAGAGGTGACTAACAGCAGTGCAGTGCTCAGTCTAAGATCATATCTGGCCTACCCTTGACTGGTTAATGAGGAGGAAATATTGTAAACGACCCTGCTAATTTACTGCTGGAGGACCTCTGGGATGATGAAGGAAGCTTTAGGAGTGTTTTATGCATCACCTGTATGAGATGATGAGCACAGTGAACACAGGAGTGAGGAATCATAAATACAGGCGTTTTTTTTTATGTTGGAGGGATTTACTGTCTAAAGCGAACACTGTAAGGTTTTCCTTTTGAGACATTTCATTTTTTTCCAAAAATGACACTAGTTTTTGGACATTCATCAGTTTACAAAAGGGAAAGTGACACATTACACATCGCATTGATTGTGAGGAATTTCAGAGAATAGTTTTGAGAATAGGATATGCTAATATGGGCCGATAATATCGGCTGGCTGATAAATCGGTCGGTCTCTAATATTTATGTTAACAGACAACATTATACTTAAGAAACATATGCTCCTGTGATTTCTCAATGACAGACACTGACCAAACAACAACTAGTCTACACTACAAAACCCACTCACAGTCAATATAGGCCAATCTCATCTATCTTTGAGTCTGCAACATCTATACATTCCTTTGCATTTACAAAATACTTTCTTCCATACATTAGACCACTAAAGACCAAACAAACCCCAAACCCCTCCTTCAACCATTTTATTTTAAATAAATTAAAACAATAATGAGACTCTGACAGCATAAGTAATAAAAATGACATAAACTGCATGAATATGACCTGAGTGTTATCTGAATACTCTCCCTTGCCTCTTTAGGCCAGAAATATAGTTTTATATTGTACTTGTATACAAGTTGAATGCCTTGGTTGTCTAATTGGAAGTTATCTCACTGGTGACTTTCATAACAGTATGAGCACCAGAAATGCTTGTTAGGCTTCAATATAAAGCTGATTACCCACCCCATATTTACAACAATGCCTATACAATCCAATGATTAAAAATGCAGTGTGTTCAATGGCAATTTTCCTGCATCTGTTTGTACGTAAAGGGAGATGGAATTCTTCGGTCACCCACAAAGTTCGCACCGCTCTTAAAGCTGCTCCTCTGAATATATGAGGCAGCCTGCAGGGTAGCTTACTATTCTAATCCTGAGCGCCTCAGGGATTTATCTCTAACATAAGACAATGTAGACCAAAAGAAAATCTTGAGATCTAAATTTCCACAGTAGCCGTTTTTTTGTTTTTTTTACCATAGAAATGTACACATAATTGTGTCCGCAGAGAGAAAAACATCTTGCTACATGGCTTAATCATGGCTTCATACAGGCGGCTTTCCATTAAATTGTTTATCCCCAACTTGTCACATGAAGGCGGTGGAGAAGTGCAGGCAATCTGTGGTGTCATTATTGATCGGGGATGAGGAGATGAGCAGTGTGTGAGAGTGTGTCTTTGCAAGTGTGTAAACAATCCACTAGTCATTTGATAGATTACAGCTGTATGATAGGCCAGGATGAGCAATGAACAGCGTGCTTCTGTGTGAGTGTGCATTGTCTTTTCTTCTTGAATGTGTACATGTGCTCTCGGGGAAGTGTTGAAGCGTCCCAGTGTAAACATTTATCTGAGGCAGGTGTGTGTGAGTGTGTGCAGATTTAGTGTGTCCCTCCTAGCTAACAAAAGGGTGATTGAGAGCCGCAGTCTCGAGGCTATGAGGTCACAAACCATTTCTCAGTCCAGTGAACCTAAATTCAGACACAACAAGACCCATCAGGTTGTAGGAAAACAAAATGTGGTTAAAGAAAAGGATTTAGAGAGAAGGCTATAAGGGTATGAAAAGTCCGACAGAGAACTCTATAGCTATATCTACCACAGTTTTTAAAATACCCTTCTGTGTATTTCAGGTCTGAGTGTGAGTGAGGAGCCTCCTCCCCACAGAGTGACCACCGGCCCACTGTCTACAGACCACCAGAGAGGGCCACCATGTCGCAGCAACAGCCTCCAGCCTCCCTCAACCCCAGCCCTGCCACGACGCTACCTGCCTCCCCAGCCAAGAAGCTCCCCTGGAGGTCAGTTGAAGGTTTTGTAGTAGAACACAGCTAGTTTTTTTTTAAAAACACTGGATACGAAAACCCTTTCATATTTTTCCCAAAAGTTCTTGTAACTTGCCTTGGTGTTTTTTTCTTAATGGTTAAATTTACACTTAAATTTGCACATGTACAAGTCAAGAACAATTAAACGTGTTTTGTAAAAAGGGGCAAAGATACTCACATATGCATATCCAGAGTGGCTAAATGATGGTCAAACTCTCTTTGTAAATTCAGTAAAGACATAGAGTGCTGTAAAGAAAAACAAGGGTTAACATTTGTTAATATAATTATTTATACAATCATGAATTTCACGGCTTGTTTTGACAAAATGACAAGTTAAAACCGAGTGTTGTAGGTACGAATAATATATGCGACGCAAATTAAACGAGTTTCTTTTTTAACGTAATGCACATTTAAATGTAATTGTAAGCCTTCAATCTAAGCAAACTTTGCCCCACTAGCATAAATGTAAAACACAGACACAGCATTTCTCAGTTCAGTCCATGTGGTGAAAGTCCAAGTAACCTCATCATCCCTGTTCTTCCTTCAATGTACCTGAATCACGGTACAAAGCTTTCTCACGCACTGAACAAAACGACAAAAAAAAAGCTTATGCAGTCATTCATTGTAAATCTACATTTAAAGCAAAATATGGCGAGACAATGTGCTCTTATTTGCCAGGTGCCTAACAATAAAAAAAGTAGTTTCAATCATTTTGGATAACGCACCTGTCCATTAACCATTTCCTCTCCTTTGGCTGAGTTGTGCTGCTTCAAAAATACCACCTATCGCAGCCATTTCAAAATAAAAGCATCAGCCTTTATAAATTCACATATATTAGGTTTTCACAGCAGTAAGACCTCCAAAATAAATACACAAGAATTGTTTTTTATTTAGGGTAAATTACATCACCTGATAAGGGGAGAAAAAAATAAATAAACAGCAGTCTTTATCTACATAAGCAGAGTATCATGTACTGTAGGCCTACGAAGTCTTCGGCAGCAGAGGGATTCCTGGCTTTGTGAAATGTCAGTTGTAAACAGGTTTTGTGTTTATTATGTGAGAATCATTTTCTTTACTGTTTTAAAGTCTAAGCCATGAAAGAAAAAGGTAGGCTATAAAGACTTCTTTCTGATGCCATAACACACTGCTTCTCTATGCCTCCAACTACATAACACCCAATGAAGCACACGCTTCTGCTTTCACGGGTTGTTGAAAGTTATTTGGGAAAATGCTGGAAGCCACTTACACTTCACTTCAATTCACTTAAAACAGAATCTATTAAACCGTGTGAACAATAGCTGTTGAACTGAATTTCAAGTGTCTCTTTCAGCCTTTCATTCAAGTGTCCTCCTGGTCACGATGGCAGGATTTTCTTTTTAAAGATTTTAAACTACCCTTTTTGCTGCTTTATTTATGTTAAAGTATAATAAAACACAAAGTCTAAATGTTTCACATTTTCTCCATAGCCTACTTGTGCTAACACCCTTTTATAATCTTTTAAATATTGTCTGTTTAGAAGTGAGAAAGCGCAGTGTCGGTGATGCTTTTCACACAAACTTATAGGCTACATTTCACACATGGAAGAAGGATAGTATCTCGCCTCACTCACACTTATTGCAAGTCTTAAAATGTTTATAGTGGCTCATTCAATATGTGTAAACGCAAAGCTCAGCCCCTTCTGCAGTTGTGTGAAAATGATCAATGTAGACATAAATGTTACATTGTTTCCAACAGGTTTTTTCCCCCATCCCAGCCTGTGTGCTCTGAATGCAGACAGTCACGTATTGTGAGAAGATTTCTCTCAACCTGTGTTTCTGTGGGCCTGAACGGACTTTAAATGTGCTGTAAATTATTGATGAGGGATCCTGAGGGTTCCCCGTCAAGCTTCAAGTCCTGCACAGGCATAGCTTTATCACACATTTTGTCAGACATTCGCACACACATCTTATCAATCGTCAGGCTCCTTTGTCCTGCTGAGCCTCTGAAAGCTTCAAGTTAAAACTTTGTTTTCAAAGTCCTAGCAAATTCAATGCAATAGAAAAGAGAAAAATGCAGTCTCATGACCCCACCTCTGGTTGGCTCCCAAGGGGGCTATATTTCGTTTCCCATAGTATCTCAATTACAATGTAAATATGTTGCCATTTCTGTAACACAACCACATTTTCAGGGGAGACAAGTAATATGTGAACTTTCCCTCTTAATTCATGCATCCTTTTTGAGGGCAGCTGTTAGAAACTCCATTTGTTGAAAACATGACCCATACTTTCAGTTGTTAAGCAAATGCTTCCACTGCAACCGTTAAACCAGTATGTGTATCAGTGCAAGACCCACCGTTTAGTCCAAATATAGTCCCCTGAAGAACACAAAAAGGCTGGCATCAAAAATGCTTCAAAATGGTTGTCAGAAAGAATACTTAAAAATTCTTCCAACAGTCCCGCAACCATTGGGTGATGTCATGATGGCAAGGACTGCTTTCAACCTTTGCCTCTGTCTTACGCAGTGATCACGCAGGATAGCATCAACATGTTGGAATGTTAGTTGAAAATGCTCTTAGCATTTAGCCCAAAAGCATGTGCAGCGTGGCTATAGCCTTGTATTATTTCATTATCCACTGCTTAATAAGCTAGCTGTTTAGATACTTGCATTGATACTCCATCCCAGAATTAGTTGTACAGATGGTTTAAAGTGTTGATAGCTTGAAGCTGTATTCATTTGTCGGTACTTGTCGGTCGTCTTTATCGTCTTTTCTTCGTGTTCATTAAGATAAATATGTTAACGCGTTACTTTACTGAACAGAGAGCAATATTAACAATGTTCAAACCAAACTGCTTTGTCTAAGTATTTGTCAAAACACGATAAAGTGTTAGCTAAAAGTTGATTCTATAACCAAACTTCAAAGTTCAACACACTCTTGCTGGATTCAAGCCACACTACATAACCAAAGCAATGTGTGTGTTATCCATATTTGTGAGTCGGTAGTTCTCTTGGCAGTAATGAGTCACTCTGAGACTTGGCATGATCACACCAACACATGCAGAGGGTACACACACACACACACACACACACACACACACACACACACACACACACACACACACACACAGTGTCTTTGCAGGCATGAAGTGTGTCTCCAGGGTTTTTGTGTGGATTTGTTCAGGATCAGAGGCTTCTCTCCCATTACAGGTCTAATTAGTTTCTTTTCAAGGCCTCTCTCCTTCTATCCTTTCTGCTTTACAACAGAGTCACTGCTAACCTCCTACTACCACTATCATCTGTCCCCCCCCCCCTCAATTCTTAACTCACTGCAGTTGTACGTTATGCATCCCACATTTATTGTTTCAAATCAGTGTCTTTTTCTTTTACTCCCACACACCTCTACAACTGTGCCACAGAGTTCATCATTTTTTTTCGGTCCTGTCTACAAAGTGTGTAATGTCAAAGAGAGAGCAGGGAGGTGATGGGCACATCTCCTCCAGTTTGTTCTGCATCTCTTTGACCCAGAGTCCCCTGGGACATAGTTATACCGAGCAGCAGGGGGGGAGGGGGGAGGGGGGGCTGCAGATGAAAGCAGGGAGGGTAACTGAAAGATTGAGAAAAGATAGAAGAGGGGGAAAAATCTGCAAAGTAGCTGAAAAGGGAAAGGAAGAGAGAGATAGCGAGCATTCAAAGGGGAAAGATTGTGTGTGTATCGGTGAGGAAGTTTGACATCAGTTGTTGTAGAGTTATGTAAATCTAAGACAGCTTTTTGACAAGTTACTTCTGTATCTATCTGTCATATGTTGTATAAATACCATTGAGTGTCATTGTTGATTGACAGTTGGCAGGAAGGAGTTTCAGCGGAGCTCAGAGGTCACACGTTCACTCCCGTCTTCCCCGAAGAGGCTGGCCGTGGTTCCCCCAAAACCTCAGTCACCAGGTAAGCCTATACATTTCCATTTTTCAGGAATTTGAGTAATTTTCACTCAGACCAATGTAAAAATATAAACATACACTACATTGTCAATCATAGATGCAAGCTCTATAAAGTCTTAAGAAATGCCAAATTTCCAGAGGCTTTAAAAATGACTTTGACGTGTACTGTGATCCTATATGAATCGGTTTCCCAATGGATATTTTGGACTTATTTGCACATAGATTTACCTGCAACTTATTCAAGCTTCTTCTCAGCTCTTGAGTTCTGGTTCTGGTAACGTAAATGCTAACACACTGTACATACACACTTGAATAGAGTGATGTCATCATAATTGTATCGGCTTTTTCTACTATGAAAAGTTAATGTGTGGGAGAAACTTGGGAGAAATTTCCTGTGGTTCATCTGTATTATGCTGCCATAAGAATTATACCTGTGTTTCACAAGTCCAAAGTTCTTCTAATTCTCTCCTAATTTCACTGGCTTTATGGCTCCTAATCCTCCTCTTAGGGCCCATTAGATAGTCTACCTTCCTAAAGCTCTCCAGAAATAGCCCTTATTATAATGACCTCTTCTTAATCCACCCACACCAAGAAGCGGTTTACATCCTTTTTCAAATATCTACCTCTGGATTTGATCCATGAAGTCTGGACTTCTCTTCCTCGTGGCTCTGCAGCTTAAAATTATTTTCTTACAGGATTGCAGAGGGCCACCTTGTCGTTTCCTTGCAGAGTTGGCAAACATCTCCTCAGGCTACACCTCGTCTCTCTGTGCTTACTTCTCTATTTTCACTAGGTGCTGCTGTTACGGTTCATACCTCTCTTTCCCTGCATCTTTTGCTGGACCCCATCTCCTCCTACACAGTTGCAAGAACATGTATTTCTTCTCATCGATTCTTATCCCTTTTTGTCAAGATATTTTAAGTCTTCTGCTCCTACTTGAAGGCACACTGCCATATAAAAATTTGCTATGATAACATTATTTGAACAAGCATCCCAATCTTTAACAAACACCCAAGCAGAAAGCATGCCACTCCCTGCACCCTGCTAGGTCTGGAATCACCTTTTCTCATTGTTTCTTATTGCATCATTATTCCTCTTCCATCAACCACTGTGCTATCATCTGCATGCTGCTTTCACACCCCAGCCTCATGGACTCATTTAGTATTCACTCAACTCGCCCCAACCTTTCAGGTAGAACCTATACAGATATCTAAGTAGGTGAGCACGTGTGTGCCTGCAAAGAGGAAAGCTTTACATACGGCTTGTAGACGATTTCAAAGAAAGCCTAATGTGCCTTCGAGGCACTGATGAAGATGTAATACTGAAACACTTGCTGATATTTCAGCTTTACAAAAAGAAATAAAGTCTGGGTTATTGGATGCTATGAAAAATACATCTGCCTCTTAGTTTTTTTTATAGTTTCATTTTCTGTTTGCTCATTTTTCCTCATTAAGGTTTTATTTGCGCCTTCAGGGACCTTCCAGCCTCCGTCTTCTGAATTCTTTGTCTCTCATCCCTTTTAAACGTTGCCCACATCATTCCCCTTATTTTATCCCCCCACCTCCTTCTAACCGATCTTTCACTCATTACCTGAGACCCTGCACCCCAAGCCCAGCCTTGCGTTGTCATGGAGACGGCTCCTCATGCCTCAGTAGCCCCGAATGATATGGTTAAGGCAGGTGATGTGGGGCTGCAGTGATTTCATTACCGTGTGTGTGTTGATATGCACGCACACAGGCTCATGTGTCAGTCTATCTATGTGATATAAAAGAGGTACATTTAAGGAGAGATCCACGTGGTAGTGCTGTGTTCTGACGCTGTGTTTCTCCACAGGCTAGTGTTAAAGCTAAACGACAAGGTGACTCACGCTGAGGTTAATCGGACTGCTTGTACGTCAACTGCAGCTTAATGCTTGTGACCCCTTGAGGATAAATATTGTCCACATCTTTAATTTACCTCCCTCATTAATGAGACAGGACATAACTAACAAAAACACAAACACATAATCTAATCTCAGAATACTATTACAGTGTATATTTCATTGTAGGTCACAGCTCAATCACTTCATGATATCGGTCACATTCATCACGATTAGATGGTCCATCATGAGGAACACCAGGCTGGGAATTACCTCAAGGCTTCCTCTGTAGAAAAGATTCAATTAACTTACTTCCATTTATCATGTGAACACAGTCATTAGCAATGGGTCGGGTCGAATCTCCTCTGATTTAATACTCATCAATTCCATTATTATAGATGGATGTGTCCCAGTTAGTTTTAAGAGCAAGTTATGTATTATTAATTCCATATGGGAAATATCAAATACTGTATGTATTATCAGACTATTTCTAGATCATATGTACAAATATCTTCCTGTAAAACCAAATGGAGTGTTTGGTTTCTGACTAAATGTCATTTTTCTGTTTCCTTTCCCTCTCTACAGTCCAGTCTGTCCAGCGACCAGCAGCGGCAGTGCGAGGGTCAGCCCCCCCAGGATCCCCTCGCCGTGTGCCCCCCCTGCTCCTGCAGCAGGAGCAGCAGGAGAGCCTGCAGAGAGAGAAAGAGGAAGCTCAACAAAAGGAAAGAGAAAGGCAGGCTGAGGACAGAGAAAAAGAAGAGCAGAGGGAGGAGGTGGGTTGATGGGAGCATCTGCAGCACCACTTTAAGTTTGCACTTTACCTATAATCGTTTTTGTTATTTGTCGCCCAGGTTCAGAGACTCCAGGGACGCTGTGAGCTGCAGGAGAGGCAGCTGAGGGTTCTGAGAGGAGAACTGAGGAAGACTTCCCTGGGTCTGGAGGCCTTCATTATCACAACTCAGCATTACTGCCTCAAGGTAGTCAGGTTTGATAACATGAGGCATTCGACAAATTAACATTCATGTGGCCATACGCTACAATTTATTAAATATTCCTGTTGCTTCACCTAAAATGACCTAATTGGGGAGAATGCAAACCTTTGTTAATTTATGTGTTTTCCCTACAGTCAATTTATTTGAATTGATCAACTATAGATTCTCAAGGAGATTGTTGTAATCTCTCCAAAGTACTCAAACTCTCGATTTTTAAAACATGCTCACTCACATGTTAACTCAGGAAAACATGCAGTATTTATTGCTTTGAGGTAAGATTCAGGGCACGCTCCAAAAATGCGCATGATGAGCAGGAGTGATTGCATCGTGGGAAGGTTCCTCCAGAGTTCAGTGTGTCACAGAGCTGGTTTTATCCAGCCTCCTCAGTCTGATGGAGTGATTTGGCCTCTGAGGTGCCATTGCGGTAATACTGCTGACTGTCTAGGGACTGTCTGACTTCTTTATGGTCACTGTCTGAGAGCTGCTATTACAGGTCCACAGTGCAGCTACAGCAGACAGGAATGGTAAAGGTGAGGGCCTGTTTGCGTATGTAAGAGCTCCCTCTGGTGGCAGCAGATGTGAAAAGCGAAAGCAGTTTATTGAGGTATAATTAAGCAGCATCAGGACCTTTCCGTGCTGTATATAACTAGATATAGTAACCTTTTTTTATTCTCTTTTCATACTTTCATGAGAGTGTTTGGAGCTGTGACTTCATTCGAGGAATAAAAGTCTGATGAAAAACAGGACCTATAGGCTTAAGGCTTTTAGAACATGCTTAAGGCTGTATTAGCCATGCTAGCACATGACTACAAAATGATATCAAATAACAGGAAACTTAAACATTTAATTTGCCCTAGATGTATAATCACCAAAAACCAATAGATGTCCATTCACCTTCAATACTTTTAGCTAATAAGCAAAAGTTGGCTAGCTACTATTTTTCATATAGATTAAGATAAGGGATGTGTTTACCATGCCTGTGTAAAACCTCTCATAGAAACTAGCAGAGCTGTAGCTATCTAGGTTCTGTGAAAATTCAGAAGCTGACTAGCCGTTAAGGCTTTAATCAAATATATTTTTATTGCAGGTACTTGGAATATTCAAATGCCATGTGTTATGTGTCAAAATGTTTATTTAAAATTTTCAGAACAAAATTACAGAAGAAAATCAAAGGAAATTGTCCATGGAAATGCAAATGATCAGAGAAGAAATGGGTGAGTGGAAACCAACATTTTAATAAAATTGTTATTATATAATTATTAACACAGACAGGACTTTTATTTTTACAGTGGACACTTTGACTAGTTATAGTAAAGTAGGAAACGCACAGGAAATGACATTTACAAGACCATGTTTCTATTTTAAGCACTACAGGGAGCATGCACAATAACAGGACACAATAGCAGGACAGTTACAGGACCATTAAGAGAATGGTTCATTATTAGTACCTGTACTTATTTTCCTGTAACATGCCAAAAAGGGCCTATCTTAAAATAGAAAACAAATGACACACTCAATTCTTGAATGTCATTTTTTTTTATCATATATCATAAAAGTGAATTAAGTCTGACTCCAGTTTTGTAGTAAAAATATTAGTAAATCAATCAATATTCTGCACTCTGATTAAGTAAAATCACAAGTTATACCCTGCTCCACACACAGCGTCCAACTCAGCTCGATGGGAGAGACTGCATCGGGAAAAGACAGCGCTGGAGGTGGCGTTTGAGCGAGAGCTTCAGGAGCTGCAGCTGCAGCAGGAGGCGAGCTGGCTGCGGTGGAGGAGGGGCTCAGGAAGTGTCACTCAGCAGAGGAGGAACACCTGAAGGCCGAGCATCGCTCAGAGATGGAGGAGCTGAGGACTCAGCAGCAGGAACAGGTGACAGAAAGGCATCATGGGAGATGAGTCTGTTTAATGTCGGTCTTGATGAGCTCGGTTCTTTTAACATTTAATTGTATTAGTCACTGAAGGACATTGCTGTTTGTTGTTCGTGCGGCAGGTGGAGGAGATGACAGTCCACCATCAGGCAGCAATTCAGGAGCTCAGAGAGATGCATAACATCACCATGGCAACGCTGCATGAAGAGCATGCCCGTACCATGAGAGGTATGATTTTAGACCTCATTTAGAAATCACAAAACAACCCCAGCACTTCACCAACTAACAACATCACTATTTTCATTGACTTCTGATTCTTCTTCTGTGTAGACTTGCGGAAAGCTCATGAGCAACAGAAGATGCTACTAGAGGAGGATTTTGAGAAACTCAGGCTTTCTCTGCAGGTAAGATCCCATTAAAATAAAGACATTCAAGTGATTGTTTTGGTCTAACGGTTGAGGCACATAACTGAGGCACATTTGAATATTGTTTTTTTGTCTGCAGGATCAAGTGGACACTCTCACTTTCCAAAATCAGAGTCTAAGGGAGAAAGCCAAACGCTTTGAGGAGGCTTTGAGGAGAAGCACGGATGAACAGATCGTTGTGAGTTTACCTACTGCGTGAAAAATACACATACATTGTAAATTATGGTAACATGCTGTTTGTATCTTTCATGGAAATACAGAATAAGAGTCTTGTGAAAATTGCAGATAACCAAATATATCATGTAACCTCAAATATGTACTTCCTGGCTTCCTAAACCTTATCAACCCCTCGCCATCTTTTTCTTGATCTTTTTGTGTGAATGTTTGTGTGTGTTTGTCTCTAACAGGATGCTTTGGCTCCATACCAGCACATTGAACAAGACTTGAAGAGCTTGAAGGAGGTCGTGGAGATGAAGAACCAGCAGATACACCAGCAAGAGTTGAAGATCTCTGACCTGGAGAAAGTGGTAAGCTCAAATAGGCTATCTCAAACCACTTCTCTACCAGATACACACACACACACACACGCAAATGTACACAGTTTAGGATAAACATGCTAGTTTTTTATGTGTGGTGAATGAAAGATTGCGCTGTGGTTTGGTTCTACTTATGAGCAGGCTCAGAAGAACGTGTTCCTCGAGGAGAGAGTCCAGGTTCTGCAGCAGCAAAATGAAGACATGAAGGCTCGGATTCAAATGAACCTTGCACTGTCCAGGTGAGACACATTCATTTATCCTCTTTATGAGTAGCCTTGTTATCACTGTAAATAAATCTGTGTGCACTTGTTACTCATTGGTCATGTAGTCTTCTGTAAATGTTAGATTTGTTTTCAAAGTGATCCATCCGTTTCCTTTATTGTGGATATGCATTTTTAACAAAATAATTAGAATATTAATGTTATGTGTGAATCTTTATACTAAGGCTAGCTACATTTGTTGCTGTTTTCCCTGCAGGCAACTGTCAGAGGATAACGCCAACCTCCACGACTCTGTAGAGAAGGAGAGCACGGAGAAGAAGCGGCTGAGTCGCAACAACGAGGAGCTCCTGTGGCGTCTCCAGACCAGCCCTCTTATGTCTCCTTCCTCTTCCCCTCTGCACCGTTCCTTCTCCACCTCCCCCGTCCTCATCCCAATTCTTCTCCTCCTCACCTGTAGCAGGTTGCGACTCTCCCACTCACTGCTACGGCTGTCCCCAGCAGGCTCAGTACTGCTCCCCGTCCCACAGAGCTGCCGCCGCCACCAATCAAAATCTCTCCCCAGGACCAGCCACACCCACTCACAGGGCAGCAAGCAATCAGAATTATTCACCTGGCCCGGCCACACCCACACACAGAGTATCAGCCAATCGCTGTAACGCTGCTGCTTGTTATGGCTCATTGCAGAGATAAGCTCACTAAACTGTCTATCTCTTGACTTTCTTGTTTGGGTAATTCTCTTTTATTTACCGTATATTCTCCTCCATTTTTGAATGTGAATGGATTTGAGGTTCATGTTGGGGAAAAATGAGTCCTGGAATGTAGACTGTATATATACTGTATGATAGAGACACAGGCAATGTCGTCATGAAGTTAAATCTCCCTGCATCTGTAGTCATGATTCCGACAAACAGAAAGAAACTGTACAGATGGAAAGTAAAACTCTCCTTGAGGCTTTGTTGACCTGTTATAATCCTGTGTGCTGGTAGGTATGTTTACTCACCTGGCATTAACATGTATTCAATTACACCTCCAGTTAAAAGTTGCAATCAGATCTCCGTTACCTGCTCGACATGGAATTAATTAGCAGCCTACATCGCCTTCATTATAAAAAATACGACTTTATAGAAAACTCTGACGCACACATGAGAGCGAGTGAGAGAGTCAGAAAATAGCATCTTGTTTATCTGTTTCATCACTTGCTCTCTTAACTTCCACCCTCTCTTGCTCTTTTCACTTGTTTCTAGAACATTTCTGTGCAACCTGCACTTGAAATCTTTCCCAAGTTTCTCTTTAACACATGCCCCTTGCAGCAAGAGATGTTTTGCTGTCAGACAGAAGGGGGAATCTAAGGTGACAAGACATGACGTAAAAAGCACACTATGGAAGTGAAACTGTAATGGTTAGACAGCAGAGTCTGACACTATGATGACAGTTTTTGTCTCTCTAACAATGCTATGTGTAATTGGATGTAGTCACAAAACAAAAGAGTTAAAATAACAAACTGGCAAGAAGAAAAGAGTATGAAGCAGCTACATTATATGTACAAAGATCTCACCAGTCGAGCACGTGCTGAAGATATAAAGCTCATAATCCCCCACCTGCTCCCTTCAAATTGCTGTTATTTACCTCTCTGTGAATTGTCCCTGAATATTTCCTGCTGCGTTCTCCCATTGGACATCCAAAACTTCTTGCGGAAATGTTACTAGGAGGCTGAAGTCCAGATAAAGTGGGGGTAAAAATGTGGTAATTTGTGTTCACATATGCAGCTCGCATAGAAAACTTGAGGAAATCCTAAGGAACAGGGCATATTATTTTATCAGTAAGGGACAATCTCGATAAAGCGCCCCCGCACCCTCTAACCTTGTCCAAGAACGCGTCAGAATGTGGCCTGAACGAACAGACTTCACATCATCTGAAATGAGTCCAGGGTGTGTCTATACCTCTACTGGCCACGTGTAATTGAATTACTTAATGTGCATGTTAATACCAGGTGTATACAGGGCCTCTAAAGTACTGTGATGTGTTAAAACACGATCATGTCCTTGATAAAATAATCGATACTCTGTCATCCGTTCTTCTTTGTCAGTTCAGATTTTCCCTTCAAAAAAAATATCCCTAAAGGAAGCGCCTTGTCCTACCATCTTACCAGCAGAGAAAACCCTTTTATTTCACTAAAGACAGAAGAATTGGCGTGTAAACCAACCTTTGGACATTTTGTAACTTGTCTGATGCTGATCATTTTACTCGTGTGGGGGACAACCCCATTACCTGTTGTGTACTTCAGCCATTGTTCCTGCAAAATACAGAGAACTCAATGTACAAAACCCTTACCAGGTCTTCCTACAGGAATCTCTCCACGAGCTACAGTATATACCCTTCACTTTTGGGATCCCTCAGGTCAACTACGCAAAAACTACGTCTGCCATTTTCTATTACCTCAGCGGGAATGTGCAGTCTGTTGTGTCTTTATCGCAACAGCAACAACAACAACAACAACAACAACAACATCAACACAAACACACAGCTACAAGGGAACTCAAAGCTAAAGGGGGAAACACAACACAAGAATCTCTGTTTTATTTCCATGTTTTCAAATGTGATGTTTCTATCTAATTCATTTCTTACATGTATTTTGCCACTTAAGCAAGCATGTACTGTAAAGGTCTTCCAGTCTTAATGTGAAACTTCTTATTGCTGTGATCTGTCTATTTATTAAGCTTGAGGTGTGAAGGAAAAGGATGGTGTGTGTATCTATGGAAATATCGCCCAATGGGACACAAGTGAAATATGGGACGCACCCCGGGAGAAGTCCCACATAAACACATAATAGTGTTCAGGGGTTCGTCTTATGATATGATATGAGTCTATAAGCTATGTAGGTTTGAAGAAAAATACAGGTTAACCCTTTGTTTACCTTCTTAGGTCTGTGTTAACCTCTTCATAACATCTTTGTTTATCTGAATGACACTTTTGTTCCCCTTAAAGTGTCATTTTTAAACTTTTACAAAACTACACTGAATTCTCAGCTCTCGAGAATCTCTTATTCAGGGAATTGTTTTCTAAATTTAGATTAGAAGAAACTTTCAATTTACTTTTTATAGCTTCTCTACAGAACATTATACATTCTCAAGATTATTTCCCGAGATGATTTTCCACGTATGTTAAATATAGTAGAAGCTTTGGTATTTAAAAATGATCATTATTATATATTATACAGTATCTGATAGCTGCCTTCTGTACTGTACTCAGCTGACTTACCCTCAGGGTCATGACACCTACATCACCTGGCTTTCAATAAGTCAACATAGATAACTACCATAATACAGAGTAATCTCAGTGATTAACTGGCACGCTAACAAACAAATGTAAAGCTGTTCAGACTAAATAAATCGTTGTATATAAGTGAAGCCAGTGAGGAGAGATGAGGGTAAGTTGGTGTAGGCTCTTGGCAGTTACAGCAACTTTGCAAAAGTGAGCAGAGTTCGTGGCTAATGTAATATTGTTAGAGTAACATAGATGCATGGGGGGGGAAGGGTTTTAATATTCAGTGCCCCTGGTCACTTTTTCTGTTCATTACTTTTTACCAGCATGTAAAGGAGGACGTTTGTGGGTTGCCAGATTTTTTTCATTAGTAGACTTAAAATTGTGATACCAGCACTTTTGATGGTCGTGAAAAAAGTTTTTAAGAAAAGATTCTTTCATAGATCTTCAATTTTTTTTTTTGTATGACATGTGCACAGGGTTAAATGCTCTCAAGCGAACGAATGTCAAGTACGGCAAAGGAATTTGAGAGATGTATCTCAGTTCACACTTTTTTTATACCTACACTGATGATTTTGAGAATGTCTTTGCATTACGATACAATTGTTAGAATATACCAGTCAGAAAGTCACTGTGTTTTCCAAATGTTTAGGGTTCTCCTTCGTCACTGAATGACTCTTTCGATCCTCCTTAAGCTCACTAATAGTGCAAAAAAATAAACAAAAAAATACAGTCTGCAAGATGCAACCAAAATGATTGTTTACAAAAATTACTGGTTTCACCAAAAATGAATATTTCACCTTTGAATGAACCGATTTCTAAACAATGAGCTGGTATTGTAACGACCCTTCGATGTGTCCTGTGGACATTTGTGTCTCACTATGCGCTGAATGTCAAAAATGTAATGACTGCATTTTATACAAGCCATCAATGTGATTTTGTTTGATATAAGAGGACCTCTATGTAGCAGCCATTTAACATGTAGCACTTGGTTTAACCTCCCCACAAGAATCATGGGTCATTTAAAGTGTCCATTTTGATATTTAAATGCTGTTGTAGCAAATGTTTCCATGGCTTGCCATCTCCAGCACTAGAATCCGATTTTGTGGCCGTAAGCTCGACAGTTTTACCCCCTTACAGATTTGGTCCAGAGACAAAGTTTACCGAATGTGTTTGTTCTGCCACTGATTGTATGTTTGAATGTAAATACATTTACAACAAGAGTTGTGTCTTAGTGCACCGACTAAAGTAATAGAAGCATGTTTTTTCTGTCTTTGCTGTTTTCCGGCTCTCCCTTCCTCTTCTGTCACCTCGCCGCATCTGTGATAGTTTGAATTGTAACTGTAGCGTAGGAGGCCTAGAGGAATGACGAATGAGATAATTCAACATGTAATGTATACATGGTCTGTTGATGCTTTCATTTGGGGAGAGTATTAAAAATATTCAAGAAAAGACATGTGGTGTCATCTTTTATTCATTTGAATATAAGTGAAGAGACGAGAGTACTGCATACTGCAACCACTCAGGATTGGATTGGAAATAAGAATGAAAGTGTCCTGTGGGACATTTGAGCAAACAGCTATATATATATACATATACGTATATAAATGCAAGCATACATTGTGAGCCGAAACAGAGCACATTTAAACAAAAGAGGGGGATTATGAGTTCAACTGCTTTTTTTAAAGGAAAGTATAAAAAAATTGGGAATTGCAAAATCAATAAATGATGCTCTCCAAATGTTCAAACGTGGTCTCGAATAAAAATAGGATTTTACTCTCATAGAGCTGCATCCCATGGGTGCACGAAGGTCTCGATATTTTTGACGATGATGGTAGTTTGTTTGAAAACGACGACTTTTAAGATGGTTTCTATACTGATTAGAGCTCTCAAGAACTGCCGTCGATGTTGTGCTTTGCCTCTGGTCACTTCCTGTCAGCACCTGTGTGTCCAATCGGACTCAAAGCTGATCGTTTGCACTTACTGACATTGTTTCCTATTTTCTAGATCCTTGCTTGTGTTGTACTTACTCCCTGATTTTTCTACCTTTTGGAATAAGAATTGTAGAATTGTAGGGTGGGTGTAAAAATACCCTACAGAAGTAAACACAAAAATGGCATCATGACCTGAAACAGATACAGTCTCAGGAACTCACCAGTCAAGACAGGACTCTTCATGACTTCAATAAGTTTTATACATTCATAAAAGTATGTATCATATAACATCATGAATTAGACACTATTAATGAAATACTTTTAGCATTATAGCAGTTTCATAACATTTTTCTCAAAGACATGCTGGTCACTAATTTAATCCAAATGCCATTTAGCATCTAATCACAGCTCGTTCGTCTATATAAACCGTTAAGGTGTTCCTGATATCAGTCCCTTGATAAAACAATAGCAATAACTTGAATCCTGACATTTCAGTTCAGACTTCAGAGGATCATCAAACGGATGAATCACTTCTTCATAAAGTGAGAAATGATATCCATGGGCAGGGGGAAGATGATGGTGGAGTTCTTCTCTGCTGCGATGGTGTTGAGGGTCTGCAGGTAGCGAAGCTGCAGGGCTGACGGGGACTCTGCGATCACCAGGGACGCCTCCTTCAGGGCACGAGATGCGTTCATCTCACCCTCTGCTGCGATCACCTACACACGGATGAAGAGAGAGGTGAGCCCTTTTATTTAATCCAATAAAGCCTGTGTGTACATAGTGTTTTACGGTGAATTCATTCTTGCACTGTCTTCGCTTCGTGTCCTCACCTTGGCTCTGGCCTCTCGTGAAGCCTCTGCTTCAGCAGCCATGGCTCTCTGCAGCTGATGTGGCAGCTTCACATCTTTAATCTCCACTCGCTCCACCTTGATGCCCCAGTCGTCTGTGGCTTCATCCAGGCTAGACTGGTTAAATCAGAAAAGAGAAATAGCTTTCACCGGTATCATGATAAATCTACAGCATCTATAGATTTCATACAGGATTGTGAGTGGGTTAGAAGTAAAGTTCAACTGTAAGAGTTTTTAAACAGGACATGTAGTGAGATATGAGTAAATGCTTCCTGTTTTAAAGTGTTTCATTGTGTAATAATTTGTATCTTGTATTATTCTATGTTACTGTTGAGTTTGCTTTGTACGGTCTCTTGTGTCATTGTCATTAAATTATTTATGCACTTCAAAGACCCATACAGTGACAAGCAATTACCCAGGGCCACAAATGCCGCAGTGTGTGCCATTAATTTACTGTACATGCTACATACAAAACCCTAATTGAATGCTTAGGCATGAGGTGTATGGAGTTGCAGAGTGCAGTTGGATTGATTATTCCCTATCAATCACAGATGAAATCTGCATATGAAGGTGTTCATTGAAAAAAAAAAAAGGAAAACCGAGATAGCTAAATGTGTTTTACAAATTTTTCAAATGATGTTGGGCTCTCCTTTAAGAAAAAAAATCCTGACCTTTGTTCATATACTGTACATGAAGATCTTTGGGGCTGGAAATGCATGTCTAAAATGTTCCACAGTTCTAATAAATATATATATATATTTTATAACACTGAAACAATAATACACAGATACAAACATAGAAACATATCTACGTACATCTACATAGACATCTGGTCTGGTTTAGATCGTGTACCTGCATGCTGTGAGCGATGCCCTCGCGGTCAGACAGCAGCTCTGAGAGGTTCTTGGTCCCCAGCACATTTCTCAGGGTGGTCTGAGCCAGCAGACGAGTGGAGAAGTCAGCATTGGATACATTGGCCACAGAGGCGATGGGGTCACTGACCCGGAAGTACACAACTCCATCCACACAAACGGTGACTGAGTCTTTGGTCAGGATCTAGAGAAGGAATGGGTTCAAGTTTTTGTGTTAGTTCACCTTTTTTTCATAATGGTTGAAAGGAGATTTACCCCAGACAGCACGTGTTGTTGTTTTTCACTGATGGCAAAACTACCTCTTGTGGTGGGATGTCGAATGAAACTGTTCGCAGATCCACTTTCACAAAGGAATCAGTGCATGGCAAAACGAAGAAAATTCCTGGAGAAGCAGGAAAAACCATGAATTTTCATCATTTAAGTAGACATGGTCATTGTTAAAAAAAAAAAAAAAAAACATAGTTAGTGTTTCTACCTGGTCCTTTAGCCTTCCTATCTGTGATGCGTCCCAGTCTGAAGATGACAGCTCGCTCATACTCCTGAACAATCTAAAGTACATATAACACAACGTTACCAAGTCATGTAGTTAATGAAATCACTGTTTAACTGCTTTTGAACCGATTGTTCTGTCTCTTTTTTGATTATTTCACTCACCTTCAGACAGAACCAGATGGTAATAGGGAAAAGGATGAGTGTAAAGGCGCCAGAGAGTATGACGATGAACCAACCAATGCATCCTAAAGACCCGGTCCGCTCAGCTGCAGAGAGACAGAAAGAGAAGCAACTGTGTGGATAAGAGTTGCACACTGTCAACCTCTTTACATTTAAATCGTAGAGGAAACCTTCACGCCAAAAACAGGTTGGAATAAAGAAGAAATGGATCTAATTGACCTGAGCATAGTGTGGGGATATATATGAACCTCTGGTGAAAAAAATCCAGAAGGTCGCTGACCAGGAACCAGTTTGAAATGCTAGAGTTTTACACTGCACTACAACAGCACAATGAAGGCCTTTGAGTCATTAAATACTACAACACCTGAGAGTCTTTGTATGATTTTTGTGTATATCTTTCCAAAGAGTCACCTCTGCCTTTGCAAATTCGAGTCAAGGAAGTGCTTCTATCTTTACATTTTTCAGTTTGAAATGACTTTGGATCCCCTTTTAACCGAGAAAGTGTAATATCCACTTATCCATTGTGAACTTATCATGCCAAAGCAACGACAAATATGTCTCTTACAAGGCATTCTTTAAAGGTTTATTTAAAGTGAAACTAGGCTGACATACAGAAAAACTGTTAAATGCCCAAGTGCAAAATAAATACAGCAATCTCGGTGAAACTGAGTTGTTGGTATTTAATGATGTTAAGTCATACTTAGAATAGCTCATTAACAAAGTGTTTTTACATGCTGGGAAACCCACATACACACAGTGCAAACAGTAAAATGTTTACTCATGCAACAGGATCCCAGGCTTACTCTGCACTGATGATAAAAGAAGTCATTAAGTAAGGGAAAGGTCTGGGAGTCATAAGTTGTCATAGTTTCCAGCGCAAGTGACTTAAGTACTCCTGTTTCTATCTGTTTGTGTTTCACAACAAAGCCATTAGATCTCATATATGGTCACATCGCACAGGGTCACATGCCTCACTTTGCAGGCAAACTATTTTTTCTGGACTGGACAGATTCACAAATACCTGACCACCTCCAATCTTTTATTGCTATGAGAGGACAATATTTGTGTTCAATTTGCATAAGCCGAAGAAAAAGGAACATTATTCTGTCTCTCTAGGTCAAACCACAGGATATGCTTGAGTTGCACAATTCTGTTGAGTTGTATTAGGCGCCTGATAATTCACTTCCACTGCTTCACATGATCTGTGACAGTTGTGGTGGAAAGGTCATCTCTCTATGTTGCTTAAGAGTGTATGAGCATTGTTATAACAGAATAAAGAATTGACACTGTCAGTCTTTAATACAGCTGTGTTGATTTAATTTAACCGTATCATTTTATAAATGAAACTGATTTAAGAGTAGCCGCATACAAATAAGATTAATAAACAAATAATCTCTTCATAATCTGAGAAGTGGAATTAAGAAACAGTTTGAATGTGGAAGAAGGGGTTTGACAATCATCGGGATTAACACAGACTACGACAGATTTTATTCATTTGTGTTCATAGTAAATTGGTTTGATTCTTATATGAAAATTCTTCTGTTTTTCTGTTAATAAAAATGTTTCACATGTGAATGCAGTGTGTAGATTTGGCTCATCAGTATGTGGTTGTCCATACATTTACATACATACATATATATATCTTGATAACTGGTTAATAAGATGAAGATAATTTATTAATTTATATTGTGTAAGACAACGACAATAGGTGATACATGTGTAAAAAGACGTGTCTAAAAAAAATGAATGACTGTATAGATTTAGAGTAATACAGAAGCTGACTGGATAATTATCAATCAATGACGATGGAGACTTCTTCCCTTTCCTCTTTGGACGTGTTGATGTGTCTTTAGAAACTTGTTCGACCATTGTTCCCCATTCTTTTTATTGTTTGCTTATTTTGTCTGTCTGCTTGTTTCTAGGTTCATCTGCCTTTACATGTTCAGTATTCATTTCAAATTTCAATCATAATCTGTTCACACAACTCAATTATCCTTTTTCATTTGCCATAAAATTAACAAACACCTGAGTTCAAGTGGATTCATATAAATGTGTGCACAGCTGCCTATGAAACATGATCCTGTCCATCAGATTGTCATCTTAACAAAGAGGATGGAAAATGATTATCATAACAAGGCCTTGTCCTCAAAGTAATGACCATTTACTCTCAGGCCAAACACACCTGTGCGTAACATGAGAGCTCCTTGTTCACCTGACTTCACACCGCATAGAAACAAGCATGCGTAGAAGTGAAGGGAGACACTAAGACAAACACTCACAGTCACATGCTTTTGGGACCCTTTATCTCAGTGCCAAGTGATCTCTGTCGCTATGACGATGGAGTTCTACTTTGCCCTATTGCCTCCACCTGCTGCTTTCCACCTGAGCAAGTGAGATTGAACATTCTCCGCATACACAACACACTTCTGTTCACTCTACACCAGACACTGTACATTCAGCTGATAGCTCAGGGAAGAGTAAACAACCTCTTTGTTGAGCTAAGCCTTAAACAGAGAGTAAATACAACTTTTTTTTTTAAACACAAACCAGTTACGTAAGAGTAGAACTCAAGTAAAAAAATAAATAAATAAAGGTAGAAAAATGTGTTGCTTACATATTAAATCTTCTTTGCTCAGGACTCTTCTCTTCCCGGTTTCCATATTGTGCTCCATTTCCATGTACTGGATCAAAGTGATAGGGGAAGTGCACTCAGGCAGTTAGTTATAAGAGAAGTGAATCTAATGAGGAGTGACTCAGCCAGCCTTTTAAAGCTGTAATGCTGAGGGAGAAGTAGGTGTGGCTCCCACTCTGAGTTAACCATCAACAAAGTACAATTCTTACGATGCCAACACGTCACTGGAAAAAACTCAAGTTATTGTACTACACTTTGGATGGCTGTTGTGATATGGCTGAATGTGTAAGCCATCGAAAAAAACACTCACACATCCTATTTAGTGGTTATTCAGTCAATGATCATAATAATAATATAATAATATAATAATATAGAATAATCATTTATCCAGCTTTACGATACAAGAACAAATAAATAATAGAAATAATAGAATGACCACTTCTAAATAATAACAGTTCAAACACCTGATATTTATGTAGTGTGCTTTTCCGTGTTCGTTGTTGCCGCTGAAGGAATACATCAAATCAAAAAGAGAAATAAATATTAAGATAACAAATTAAAAATAAGCGTATTGAACATGTTTTAGGAGGGAAGCTTCAGAGAGACCATCACTTAATTATGAGGATAAACAAAAATCATCACACATCAGAGTTTGATTGAGACAGAATTACAATTGAGTATTAAAAGCAAGTTGAAGTCAGATCAAATGTGACTTGCAATAGAAAAATATAAATATTTAACATTTCTAAGAATCTCCATAGTCTTTTTTGTAGTATGCATAGGATAAAATGTTTATTGTATATTCCATGTATTCATTTATGAGATGTGTTCAGACGTTAACAGTTATCAGTCTATGGTTATAGAAAACTTGGATGGCTGTGAGGTAGAAAGTTTTCCAGTGAGATACAATCACTGGGTGTTGCAGGTCTCATGACTAACTGATCCATGACTGATAGCTTCAGTCATATGCACTGTTATATTAGCAGTGCTTGAGATAAACACTGTATACAGCAGCAGGCTGGAAAATGATCTACTATTGAGGGCTGGGTTTAATTCACAGATAAGGAAACGTGATATAATGACGGTAATGTGGTCTCTTTTGAGGATGTGATTTGTACAATTTACTGCTGACCTTCTTCATCGAGTCTTTAACTGGCCATGAACTTTATCTATGGTGTTGCCTTGTCTGATACAATAAAGATGTCACTTTAAAACAAATGGATGAGCTTTATTGACCTAAAGCGCTGCTACTTATCAAACTGATCATGCTCCCATGATTAGGACAATAAATTAAAATGATAATAGCTACACTCGCTGTAGTTTCCCCACAGAATATTTAAGTCTAGCTTTGTTCGTTTTTTTTAAACATGAAGACGTTCATTGGTTTTGTCACCTGGAATTATTCTAATTAAGGTTTTTTTTTCCTCTGACAGTTTGGGATAGAATAGAGATAACACAACAGCTAGAGCAACCAGCAGTTTACTGACAAAGTAATCAAACAGGTGCAATTAAAAAAAAGGGGCATCATAGAAAAAAAACAACATAGAATTTAATAAAAACAGAAATATGTTGGTTACTCTACAACAAGAAAGTAACTGAGTGTACTGGGCAGTGCATGACATAAACTAACAGTTTTTACTCTTTTGCCAAGAATTAATTAAGAATAAACTGTTTGTTTTTTAAAATCTCAAGTCAACATTATCAACCAATCAATGCTTCAAGTTATGTTAACAGTATAACAGTACGACAGTACATGGATCAAAGACTTTTATAACAGTATTTGTAGCAGGGTGACATCTTTAAAAAAATGTAAACTGCTGACAGCCACATGTGTTTGTTCACTGAAAACACAAAATGACGTATGCGACTCTCCAAGCAGGAGTTAAAAAAACAAAAAAAAAAAACTTGTGTTGCCTTTTTAAAATATAACTTCAATTCAACTTACCAAGATAGGTCTCAGAGATTCATTTCATGATGCGATATTCAATTCAGGACATGTCATAATCATCATAAAGGATGTCCTCTCCACTCACACTGGACACGAAATACTACGTGGGACTACTGTCGAGTCATTACATGATATCATGTACATTTGTAAATGTTCTATATTTCATAATTCACTACGGACTTTTCACACCTTGTCAAGATCAGCCAAGTCCAGCTAACATTAAAACCATTCACAGTCTACTTATAAAAACTAACAACTTAGACAACTGATATTTACATCTGTTCTCGATGCATATTATAAGACGTATTACCATCCCCCTCCACACTCTTATTTCATCTGTTTGCATGACACTTCAAGTAATCAGTCAATCTGGTGGTAACATAAACATTACTAAAAGTCTCTAATCTGTCAGGGCTCACGGCCAATAGGGAAACTGATTAAAAAAACAGAGGGAGGTAATAGGAGACAGTATTTATGTGTAATCAGTGTTTCAAACAGTAGTGTGTGTTTTACTGCCAACCCAGCTCAGGGTGCAGGCTTGGTTGGAGCAGGAAAGGGTTTCCTGGTCCTGGAGGGTAGTTAGTGAAAGCGTTGGGCTGAGGTTGAAAGCCTTCCAGAGACGTGGGATGAGCCTGGTACAGAGAAAAAGGAAAGTAGTGTTGCTGTAGCAATGAGATTTAATCAGTCAGGCATTCAAATGATTTTACTATCAAAGAGTATAGTGGGGGTTGTGTGTGTGTGTGTGTGTGTGTGTGTGTGTGTGTGTGCGTGTGTCTACCTGCAGCAGGGCAGACTGCATTGCTTGGTTGTGGAGTCCACTGAGCCCAGCAGGTGAGCCAGAGGGGGAGAAGCCCGGTACTCCGGGGAATGACAGCAAGCCGGGGAAGCCGCTGCTTCCTGGAGGCTGGAGTCCACTGCTCAACCTGGAAAAAAAAAAAACACCACGTATGATTGAATTATTTTTCACATCACTCTTTCTCTATCCACAGGATTTCAGAACTAAATACACTTAACCAGGCTTACTGATCACACTTTTCACTTCGATGCAATAAAATGTGACTGTGATCAAGTTTCAGTTTTCACCAATTTCAGTGTTTTTTTTTTTTCTCTCTCAACATACAACCTGGAAAACAGTAACATATATCTTGTTGGTTTAATGAGTTGAAAGTGAGACATGTAAAATAGCTTAGGGTTATTTTGCAAGAGTTTATTTGATCACGATGCAGGCGATGGTAACAGTATATGGTTACAGTATTTGTATTTCAACTGAATATACAAATGTTAGATGATTACAGCTACTTTGTCGTTTATCTTGTAACAGTGGTATCATAACACGACTATAAAAGCTGTGTATAGTTGAATAACTCCTTTGTGTGTATACATTTTGTGTTACTTTAGCAAAACATTGTTTCAGTTCCCCATGTAGAACCAGCAAAAACAAGATCTAGGTGGTTTGGACACCAGCTGCCATTTCAGCAACTGAAATACCAACAGAGGTGAGGCATGTGCTTGCTCATTGGAAAGATAACATGCTCGCTATATGGCTGACAATAATGGGATTTGTCAAGAAGCTCTACGCCTGACACTCCGGAGGAGGTGTAGAAGTGGACTTTGCACTTTGTAAGTGCAGTGTTCCGATATTAGCACATGAAACGCAGAGTGGAAAATCGAAGGACATGATTTATGATGCCATCACATGTCAGTTACTCTACTTGGACAGGACAACTGACGTCTGTGCTTACTGGGAAGTTAAAAAGCTAAATATTAAAAGGTGTGATAGCAGCAAGAAGATTCACAAAGAAGAGCCCAAATTTGCTCGTGAGAACTTTTCATCAAGACCAAATGAAATGAGGGTTAATTAATATTGAGAAAATGAGTATGAGAGTAGTAGATTTAGTCAGATTATCGATATCAAATTTGACAGTAGACTTGCATGAAAACCTCTCTTACCCAGGCTGGAAGTTGGAGCTAAAAGCAGATGCGAATCCTGGCAAAACTGGCGATGAGGATGGAACTCCAGCTGCAGCAGCCGCAGCAGCCGCGGCTGCCTGCAGTGGTGCCACTGATGCCACTGAAGAGGGAGTGGCCCCGGGGAGTCCCATGAAAGAAGACAACACAGGGCTCCCTGCACTGTGCCCTCCTGACACCCCCAATCCTGGGAACGCAGCAGGGCTTGCGCCGGGAGGGAGGCCTGCGAATAGCGAGGGGGCGGAGGTAAGGCCTAGACCGAATGGGGAGGCTGCATTGGGGGCAGCATTGGAAGCCAGTCCTGGGTAGATGGAGGTGGGTGGATGGTTAGAAATACTGCTGGAGTGAGGGATTCCTGGCATGGATGCAGAGATGGTGGATGGAGGGAGTGAGGAGGTGAGGGAGGGGAAGTGGGAGAGGCCGTGATAATGTGAGGGTGCTGGGCTGGAGGATAGACCCTGGAGGCCAGGGATGGCAACAGGACTTGACAGAGAAACTTGAGGAGAACCTGAGGGGTGTGACAGACCGAAAGAACGTGCCAGGGCAGCCTGGGCAGCCTGGGCAGCCTGTGCAGAACCTGGGACTACCAGAGAGCTAAGAGATGGTGTGCCGCAGCGAGAGGCGCCCTTGAAAGCGGAGGGCACGGGGCTGTTACTGCCGCTGTTGCTTCCCCCAGAGTGTCTATTCATGGCTGCGGCCATGGCGGCCTGAACCTGTGCAGAGTGGGCTGGGGAGGGTTTGGGACTGTGGCCTGGGGTGGAACAGCTTGGTATAGCTGGATTGGATGATCCAGGAGTGAGAGATTGTGGTCCAGAGGGGGTGTAGCTTCGGATCACTGACCCAGATGGGTTACCTGAGTGTGGGTGTATGCCAGGGTGTGTGGATCCTGACTGGTGGTCTGTGGACTGGTGAAAAACCCTCTGTTGAGATGAGCCCATGGAATTCGTCTGAGATAAGTGGTCGTGGCCGCTGCGGGAGGAAGCAGGGGTGCCTGGTCTGGAAACACCATGGAAGGGAGATGAAGTGAAGCCACCACTACCAGGGACAGGCGTTCCACAAGGAGTACCTGAAGGAGTGTGGGCTTTGATGACGGATGAGGGTGTAGGTGCAGCATGGCCCCCGGGGGTCTGGGGCCCTGCTTTGATCACAGATGGAGACGGAGCAGGGGAGGGCGAGTGGGCATTAGGGTTGTGA